TGTGTCATGTTACGAAACAGTAAAAAAAATGTAAACTTGAAGTTCCAATTTCGATCTTAGTTAAGGATTTCTGAATGAAGTGCATTTCCTTAAAAACAATTTGAAAGATTGTTATGTGATAACTAAGTACTATTTTAAATAAAACACTTTTACGGTTTAAAACGCGATATATTAGTTAAAAATCATTTTCAAATAAGTTTAACTAATATATCGCGTACTACTCGGGAAAACTATAGACAGTATTTAACTAAGTACTATGTTTAAATATAAATACAAATGTTTGTATCCTCTCCACAAAGTAAAGATGGCCGCTCACGTTTATCATGGATGTGAAATTCAGCTGTTTCCTTTTAGCTTCAGTAACTTGATTGAATGTACATACGAAATAGAGTAAGCCCACACAAGCTAAACCGAAATATCTCAAAACCTTATGCCACTTCCAATTATCTTAATTATATTTCGTGGATTACAACTAAAATCTACTCTAAAAGTAAGTAGTAAGTACGTTTTATGGTTACTATAAGTTAGAAGTTAGGCAGAACAAAAAAACAACATAATAAAAGTGTTTTATGTACTGTCTATATATAAAAATATCTTCAATTTTTTTTAATTGTAATGTGGCGCTAGCGTAGTAGATTTGTCTTTGAAATAAGTTATGCCCGCCATTTTATTATCTATGGAACGATGGAAAAGCTTATCGAAGCCTTCATAATCTTGATATTAATGAATACAACCTGATCTTGATATGATGAATACCTTTTAATGTAACTAGAAGTTACAATAAAATAATAAACAAATAAAATATCACGATTATATGCATGAGTATTATGGTGGCGCTAGCGTAGTAAATATACTTTTGGCATAAGGGGCGCTCTCCATCTTGTATTTCGTCATCAGGTCTATGGAAAAGCTTTACATCGTTGCGTTTAAAAAAAAAACACTAATTTATTTTGCATCAAATAAAGTACTAATTTAAAGAACAACTAATTAGAAATAAAAACAATATTTTTGTAGTGAATAGACCATTTATTGAGTGACTAGAAGGAGCGAACAGACATTGAAAAATGTAGATAAAACGGGGAAAACTGTTTACCTTACAGTGTTCCGTTGCATTCCCTGCGAAAACGGTCCAATAATTCAAAAAATATGTCTGATAGAATGATACCTCTTTGATTGACCAAAAAAATGTCCCGCATTACGTGTCTATCATTTTTAACGGTTTAAAACGCGATATATTAGTTAAACTTACTTGAAAATAATTTTTAACTTCGGCCCGACGTTTTAGATGCTTTGCAGCAGCCGTGGTTACGGGGAGATACATCGGGAGGAACCTCCTCAGCTTTATATATTTATAAAGCTGAGGAGGTTGTTTGGAAAAATAAATTTTGATGTCAAAAATAACTATCCTCGTCGACGAAGTCGCGGGCACAGCTAGTGTAAAAGTTTTTTTTTTGTAATACAATTTCGTATAATATATATATATATGTTAAATATTAGTTCCACCCACAATCTGATGAGTGAATACCGTCCTAAATGGTGACACTTACCAAAGGACATATAGAAAGCTGGTAAATGTCATAGTGGGCGACACAAAGGCGCTCGTTTGCTCTTCCCTTGTAAAATAAAAGAGCCATTGTAACAAAACTCCTCCAATCCTCGTAATCAAACGACGTTTGGTCTTTGTTGACGCGGTATTAAGAGTTGCGAGGAAACCTTCGTCTTTTTCAATTCGCCCAATCACGATAATGTTCCTATTTGTGTCTGAACATGTACATTCAAGTCAATTAACGAGTTATTAATAAAACTTCAATAATGAAGGCCACATCTTTTAAAACAAAATCAGCGCGATTTTCTTTCCATTGTTAAAGAGTATTCTTTCATCAACCAATACTTTCAGTTGTAACCTCGCGCAGATAAGTAGTAAAACAACTTAAATTGTTTAAAACGCGAAATATATTAGTTAATTTATTTTTAAGTTATGTCTCGCCTGTACAAGATGCTTTACTGCAATCATGGACACTGAGTTAACTAATATTTTTCGCCTTTTTAATTTGTATCACTCCCGTTAACTATGGACAATACTTAGCTCTTAAAATACAAATTAATTATCTATACATATATTATTTTTATTCATTCGCCTAATGTTATTATTGGAGCCATTGTCTATATGTACAAATGTACGAGATTGAGACAAAATCAATATTGAATAAATATACATGAACGACATTCCACGAGGGCTTGCCAAGTTCTATTAGATTTGATCCACCAAAAAAGCTTTATGGAAGCAAATCTAATAGATAAAAAGGTGGTAACGTTTTTGCTATCCATTTTAACGCCCGGCATCAAATCGAATAACTGCAGTTAGTGGTTAAAACTAAAGCAATGGTATATAAAAGCATAGGCTTTTAAAAATGTTACAGTCTGAAATTCCATTGCTCTACACGCTTTGTATTTTGTTGTACATATAATTTACAAAAAGCATAAAACGAAACTAACAGAAAAATAGAACAAACGTAAAACAAGAAATATTTTGTATAACTTTCGGATATATCGCGTAAGATTATATGCCTAATTGTGTTAAATAAATGTTTTTTTCTTCAAATTATTATTTACGGTAAGCTTTTGCTTAACGTATTTAAGCAATATGAATGAAATTAACCCTTGTCTAATGAAACTTAGACACCGCCGCAGACACATAAAATTTAGCCCCATTTTAGGACGTAGGTCATCTTTGAGACAAAAGATAATAAATTGCAATGCAATATTGATAACTTAAGTTCAAGAAATTGTAACTAAATAAATAGTTATATTGAACAGTAATGATCTATCAAAAATCGAATGTTGAAATTAAAACATCCGTTCATCTTTTATTGGGCTGTTTGACAGGTCATACGTTGGTGCTCTCTCCGACCGAAACGCTCTACATAAGTTTCGAACAATTAACATCTCGTTTCCCCTCGTGGATTATGGGACGAAGATATTTTTGTGTCTATTGTTTCCCCGGTATTCGAAACGAGGACCTCTCGCGCTTAACGCATTGCTAGCCTACACAACTAGACATTTCGCTGCAGAGGCGCTCTAACGTAAATAAATAATAGTACTAATGATAAATTATGTCTGGAGATAACTCGAATGTAATTTATATAAAAATACATATTATCATAATCAATGTTTAAAAATCAAAGGATTCTAAGAAACAAAAGAAAACTCTTGCTAAATAATTTTACCAGTGTTCCTAAATACTGTTGAATTTGTGAAAAAGGATTAAATTCAAGAAAATTTCCATATTGAATTAATAAATCCATAACCAAATAGGTCGACAGTGCATCTTGTTGCAATGTTATGTAGCTGGTGTATTTCACCCACCATGTAAACAACATGATAGTCTTTTCACTTCTATCATAAAAATATTTACTTTCTGTATAAATAAACTGTATTATTAATAAATTGGCCATGCGAAGGTGATTTAATTTTAATCAAAAACTACTGAACTGAAGTTTCATTCAATAGCAAATAAGCGTAATATTGAACAGTTGGAAAACTTCATAAAATGGCGGGAATTCAATCAAAGCTTCATAATTACTCTTCCTTTGAAATTTTTCATGTCAAATTAACTTGAAAGATAAAAGTTAATAGCAGGTTTTGTATCAGTGAAATGACAAAATTTTAAACTAAAATATTATTATTACATGAAAATTGATATTCGGGTAATGTTCTCCTAATCTTATGGTTCAGTTTTTACACAGCAGATAATTTTCATACTTATCTTACTCTGCACAATATACAGAGTAAATACTATCTGTAGTTTACGTGAGTAGTACACATTTAAATAAAACACTTTAACGGTTTAAAACCATCGATCACTTTAAAACCGTAACCGCAAACCACGGCTGCTGCAAAGCATCCAAAACGTCGGTCCGTAATTGAAAAATGATATTTAAATAAAGTTTAACTAATATATATCGCGTTTTAAACCGTTTTATTTAAGTATACCAAGTAATAAGCGATAAAGTCATTTAATTTTACCACACTTTGAATGTTTTTATTTAAAGTAGATAACAAAGAAAACGACAATACGCCCAGTTATAAATTATTGTCATTCATTCAAATGTCTGCAGTTATAATCAGATGTTTTTGCTAATGAAATAAACCTAAACAAATGTGACAATTTTATTCAAACTTTGCGAATATGATCAGAATTCTTCAGAGAAGATCTTTTATAACCTATTTAAAATCTGTGTCGTTCGAAAATTGCGCATTATTCTGTGGTATTGGTATAGTCTGTGGTTTTTATTATAGATTATAGCATAATACCTTTTGTCTCTGCTAAATTTCCAATATAACCAAAACAAATTCTTTTATTATCTTTATATATATAGCGAGTAGATGATATCTGTCTTTGACAATATAACCTTAAAATAATAAAATTTAAAATTTCAACTAGTTATGGTCGAATTTCCACCACAACGCGACTAGTTAAGAGTTGCATAACACAATGCAGCTTTATCAAGTCCTACATCAATTTCAAAAGTACAGTGACGTAATCCATAGTGATGTTTAATTAAACTTGCCCCTCACTCAACCGTAGAAGATAAACTACCACTTAGCGCTTCCATTGTCTAAAACAACGTTAAGTGTTAACAATCAACTTGAGAAATGAAGCGAAATGAACATCTAGAATTGTTGAAATGTAAGTAAAAAACAAAGGAATGAAAATGTGATAATTAATTCATAGACGTCGTGATAAATACGAAAATAGGTTAACCGATAGAGCGTGGTTTTGTCAGCTGATCTTACATATACATAAGATTAGATAGCTATACAAATATATCCGTAACTTAACAAAACAGAAGATTGTTATCTCAATCGCTCTCACCTGATCTCAAGTCGTAAGGCATGTTAGCCTCTCTTCCAATTCGGTCACAGTCGTATCCCTTACTTCATACTTCATCCAAACACAAAACACTCGATAGCACAGGCTAGCTGTCAGAACTCAGAGGTTATTTAGCGTGACGCACGCATTCTTGATACGTCAGAAAACGGTGTCCCGAGGGTTGACACAGCATCCGCGGCGGCGGCGGGGTCACTTCTGCCGTTGGGCGGCGGCGCGCGCCGACAGCGCACCCCGTTGCCATGACGACCGTCCGGGCGATCCACCTAGTGCTCTATCGCATTCAAAAACAAAAATAGCAAATTAATTGCGTAATATTGTGCTTTGTATTTTTTTATTATAAGCTTGTGCGCTGTCGACCTATTGTAGCTTTGGATATTTGAAAATCCACAGCTGACGGCTTTCTCTGTGGATGGTGGCTTGTGATCTGGACGGAATTTCGAAATTCCTAATCTATTCTTAGATATCCTTCCTATCCCTACCACCTATTTAATTTCAGATTGCCAGACGAAGTTTAACATCTTTAAAAAAAAAATAAGATAATATGCATAATTTTAGTAAAATTTATTAGTAATACATTATACCAATTACTAAAATGTATTAGTAAAAGAGCCGTCTAGCTTTAATTTAAATAAAATACGTTTAACGGTTTTAAACGTTAAATATATTAATTACTATTTCTGCATTTAATTTTACTACGGCCCGACGTTTAGAATGTTAGGCAGCAGCCGTGGCCATGGCGATATATTTACGGTTTAAAAATTGTTTATTTCTCGAGGGAGTAAAAAAATCTCTTACTGAGAAACTCGGGTAATTTGTTTTAAAACTTTGCCATCGTTTAGTACTACCCTCGCTGTCTTTTAGTTCAAAATACAATCTATATATAATTACAAATATATGAATATGCCGCGTTTTAAACCGTTATAGGTTAATACCTGTGGTAAGGAAATCAAGATATAACAAATGTATAGTTTACCAAAAAAGAAATTCATACAATACGTACGACTCCCAACGAATCCTTTTGTCTTTGCAATCGGCTCTGTACAAAATATAGATAGGATTATAAAGAGACATATGTAATTACTAAAGTGTTGTCAGTAATTTCTGCGGGTGGTATGCATTATATAAATCTCTTACAACAGTACAAAACGCGAAGTCTATCCATGGAAAAACGGCCCTACAGCAAATCTGTTGTTGCAGCAACAGCGGAGTGATATGATGTGATATGTGATCATTGTCAAATATTTATGATTTTTTCCTTTTAACAAAGGATGATCTGCAGTTGCAAGAACGCATTAAAAATGTCGTGTCGTAAATATATATACGCGTTTTAAAGCGTTTAAACCCGTTAAAAGTGAATAAAGTCAAATTAGTAAGTTGGTATGAACGCCACATAAGTTAAAAACTCAATACTTAATTTACATTTACTACCAGTTCTCAAATTAGTGGCGTAGAACGAACGAGAAGAAATAGCAAGAAACTCGCCGCCACTCCTTTTAAATACAGAGTACCTTCTAAGGAGTCGAGCCAGAGCATTACTAGTTACGATATGAAGAGGAACATATTATAATTCAGCAGAGGAAAGTTTGAAAATTGGATGTCAGAATGTATTCTGAAAGGAGATACAAGTTGGATGTCTCTTTGTAACGTAATTGGATATTGCAAGCTTGATGCACTACTGTCTGCCGCACTTTGCACTGTTCATACGCGGTACTATCGACAAAAAAATCGTCATTTGTGACTTTGATTTATACTTTATATTAAGGCTTAGATATAAAGCATTCCACAGTTTTAAACGATGGTTTTTAAACTTTCGTTTTTAGCAATTTTAAATTACTTAACTATATTGCTGACGTTACTTTCACATTTAAAGGATTGGCTTACTGAATATCTAGTGTACAGTCTTGTGAGGTAAGGATTTGGACTTACATTATTAAGTTACGAAATTTGATAATATGTATTTCAGATTCTGTCTATAAATAAATTAATATTTTATAGTGTTGTTACCTGTTTTAAGTTGTTGAAAATATTAGACGTTTACAATTTGTAAAAAAAAATATTTTTTTAATTACTATATTTTGTATGCATAAAGTGATATTACAATTAGGTACAAATGAATCGATTTATAAAGACATAACTGGACGACAAAATATTTGTAAATATGTAATTACTGTACGGGGGGGAATATTTTGGATTTATCCTTCGTTTCTTCTGTTTCGTGCTGTTGCTCTGACGGAACGCTGACGTTGCCCGTTCAAGTCCTGCCCGAGTCGAAAATATTTTCAATTTATTTTCGATTTTTAAATTATATAGAGCTTGCATGTGCAATAACGTGTAAAAATAACAATATATAAGTAGCCATCTGGTTAAATGCCTAGCATTGCGTCGAGGTTCCTAGGTTCGAGACCCAGGACAACTAAATAGTGAATTCGGTCGAGCTTTCAGTTCTTTTACAGGCAAATAGTTATCGACTGCCTGCTAATGAAACCGACCGGTTAAACGGACACAAAAACGTTTTGCCCCATACTCCATGCGGAAACGGGATTTTACTATGCCTTCTATTATGATCGGTTATTATGAATTGATAAGTTAAACCGTTACTGGATAATACAGTAAAATTACAGCCATACATTATTTGAATAACATTTCGCTGACACAGCGTTCGCGACTATTGTTACGGTTCCGTGTGGATTTTGCGAATGTGATATTAAGCGATATTAATTATTCTAATTCTGATACACTGGCATATAAGCTTCAGAAGGCATAGTAAAATTCGTGCGTTTGTGAGGATATGTAACCGTTAATTTATAAACCCTTTGGTAATGGTAATGTAATCGTTCCAGTGTAACTTTTCAGGAGAATATAGTTTACGCGAGTAGTACAGATTTAAATAAAACACTTGAACGGTTTAAAACGCGATATATTAGTTAAACTTATTTGGAAATGAAACGACGGGCCGAAGTTGAAAATCATTTTCAAATAAGTTTACATATATATCGGATTTTAAACCGTTAAAGTGTTTTATTTATATTGTACTAGTCGCGTAAACTACAGACAGTATTTAAAGTGAGTGTATCTGTTAAAGCGAAATATATTAGTTAACTTATTTACAATATAATTTAATTACGTCTCGGCGGTAGCATGCTTTGAAGCAGCAGTGGTCACTTAATAAGTTAACATAAACTAACTAACTTGTAACTCTGACTATTTTCCTTTCTTCGCCTCCTCCTCTAAAAGCTTCCACCTAAACGCAAAATATTAGTTAAACATGTTTAAGTATGCGGAGACCTGCCCAGTACCAACTGCGACGGAACAGGTGGCGCTAGCGTAGCAGTTTTTACTATAACATCAAAGACACTTTCGATCTATAGTCTCCCCGTGACCACGGCCGCCGCAAAGCACGCGAAACGTGAGGCCGTAGTTAAAATAATTTTCAGGTATACCTTCCTCAGTGTAAAAACGCTACAAAATGTCGTAATTCCAATATGCGTCTAATGAATTTTAATTAAATTCTCACCGTCATATGACTGGTACTCACTGACCGCAGACATGAAACCTCAAATCCCGAACCCTAATATCAAGATCTCTGAACCGCGAATTACAAGTCAGTGATTAATCATAATATAATTGTTATTAATTCTGAGTAGCGAAGTTATTGGATCAAACTTGTTTGAGGTATATTCTAGTAGATACATAACTAAGGCACTTCTATTGAACTTTGTTCTTGAAACTAATATTCCGTAGGGATATGTAACTAATAGTAACAATATAGGTACCCTCAGATAATGGTAAAAATTAAATACTTAGTAACTTTAACGGTTTCAAACGCGTTAAAAAATTATTTGAAAATATTTTAACTACTGCACGATTATTCTCTTATATTATTGAACAATTTTTAAATAAAGTTAACAAATATGTTTCGTGTTTTAAACCGTTAAAGTGTTTAAATAAAACACTTTAACGGTTTAAAACGCGCACGGTTTAAAACATCCGAAACGTCGGGCCGAAGTTAAAAATCATTTTCAAATAAGTTTAACTAATATATCGCGTTTTAAACCGTTAAAGTGTTTTATTTAAATGTGTACTACTCGCGTAAACTATAGACAGTATTCCGTTAAAGTGTGTTATTTTAATAGTAATTATTCAATAGATCAAAATCTATACTAATATTTTAGGCTGGCGAGTTTGTTTGTTTAAAAAATTGGACTATCTAATGTGTACTAGTGACGGTTGAATTTCTGTTGGCACCAAAAAGAACTGAATAACTAAAGCCTAGCTAGAATCTATATATTTCCACATGTATTGATTCCAAGACTGTCTTGCCTCGTTTCTATTCAGCTTGCGTCGAAGTTCGTATATCGACTCGAAAAATAGTTTCTAGAGTACACTAAGTTCATTAGATTCTGAATTGAAAAGACGAACGAATAAAATAGGACTTATTTCATTCGTTAGTGTTTGGCATGCAAAAATTTACCCCTTTGAGAAAACGAATAGCAAAATATAGTTTTCACTAAGAACGATAATTAAAAACTATATCCTTTAAAGTTACAGAACCTATGTCTTTAACTGTATATTTCTAAATTGCACAAAAACTCGCAAAGCAATTTATTTGTAACTTACTTACCTTTGATGAGTGAGCTACAAAGAATATATTAATTGACTTATTTATAATTTATGTTAACAACGGCCTGTCGTTTCCGACGCGACCACGTACAATGAGTTAACCAATATATTTCGCCTTTTAAATCGTTATAAGTGTTTAATTTAAAAATATAAAATACTGATTTATAATCGACTTTTAACCAGTGATAATTTGTGTCCTACTGTGACATAAAGACATCGCGAGAACAAACTAAGCTCATATAGTTCGTGTTTTAAAACGTTGAAAGTGGTTTAATGGTATATAAGCTACCAGTTTTAAATTGAGTACACTTTTATCCAGTAAAAAAATATATCCTACAGTGACATATCTACTTAAAGAGTACACGTGTACAGTGGTAACTAGGAAGTGCTACACTTTTTAGAAGAATCGAGTATAAATTCTCGTGTTGATTTAAAGAACAATAACACAGTTTCGGGGGAAAATATTTTTTGTTTCAGCCGGCAGCAACGAGAAATAATAAAAAAGTAACTTCTCATTTCTATGAAACTTGTTTTCAAGTCCGCGCATAAAACTTACTTTCCCTGAAGCCTTCATCAGGCTTCGAGAACACTTCGGAAATTAGCTCCGCTTCCGTAGAGGAAATTTCCTCTTGTTTCTCAAATGACGGTAAAATACGAGTATACATGGCATTAAATTAACAATAACCCTGACGATAAACGAATTAACGATCGAGTTACCTTTGTTTAATCATTTTTCAATAATACATATTTATTTCAAGTGGTAATCCTTTACTTTATAATCTACCTTGCATTATTGAATGTTTATTTCTAATTCTATCATCGAGCTAGTCCTGCAAAAAATAATGAGCAATACTTTACTACATCACAATTGCTATTATTTTAAATTAAAGATTACGTTTATACCTTAGACCTAACGTTAACTTAAATTAAGCGTTATTAAAGATAAAAATACGTAAATAAACATTTTTTTGTACTTTTCTTCGGTTCATAATATGGTATAGTTTTGACGGATTTGTAAGAGTTATGGTAAGAATGTATGACTAATAATAACTGGAAATCTGGAAATTAATTAGGTGGTAAGGATATCGAAATTCCATCAGGGTCGGCCATGAAGTCTAATCGCGTTTCAGTCCGTGGATTTCCGAATAACCAAAGGCTCTATCATAAAAAATAGAAACTTTAAAATGTTATCTCACCTTTCTTGATAGTTGGTTTGATATTCCATCTGTGTCTATACAATGCGAAAGAAACTAGTGATTTCGTCTAAAACGGGCACTACAATGGACGACAAAGACAGATCTTTTTCAATATATCTGCAATTCTAAGGAATTCCCTTTTGACCTTGTCGGTCCACACTTATGAATGAGACCGTCGTGGCGGGCAGGTAGAAAAGATTTATTAAATGTCGTAGATTATTTACTCACCTTCAATGGTAGGGGAATATAAGAGGCATACGTAATTCTAAGGCGAAATGGGAAATTATTATTAATAATTTGAAGTCGTTACTACCACAAAAAAACAATACTGATATTCGCTCAGGAGTTTGTTTACACGTTTGTTTGGGAACTACCGGTTCAAAATTATTTTTTTCTTACGTGTTCGCAACAGAATTTATCGAGAAAGCCTTTAGACTATATAACAGCACGCCGCGAAAAACAGTGTAAGAAACAAAAAAGAACGTCGAAATTCCTAAGGGCAAAAACGGTTCAAGAAAAAATGTATGAAATAATAATTTCTCTCTAAATTATCTAATAATATGATTAGGACGATATGTTTATCTTTTAAGAAAAATCCGCAATAAGCGCTATAGTAGACAATTTTGGAAAGAAAACATTTGAGAGAGATAGATAGAAATAGAGAAAGGAGACAGAAATAAATTTAAACTATTTATCTGGTCGAAAATAATGCAATACATATTACCTTCTTACTCTGGTGTGTCGAAGCAAGATCGTACATACGTATTAACAAGTGATTTGAAGTTCGACAAAATCATTTAATGTTTAACTAAAAGTTACGTAATAAGTTTTTTTCACATTCAATAACATTTTTAACGTAAAATTGTGAATGGAAAGGAACATTTCTAATAACAGCTATTGTAAAGTTACATACACGGACCTCATTAGAAAAAACACGCCGAGTCAGCATAAAAAAATATTGTTTGGAACCCAATAATTGCGTCTCAAGTGGACTGTCCTTTTTCCTTTGAGCCATTTGTTCACAGTTAACGAGTATTGTTTGTTATCTTGTTATTGTTTTTAAAGGTCCTCGTCTTCGAGGGCCCTTCTGTGTTAATTCTTGACGAAATTACAGATTACGCTCCCTTTTCAGCGTTTTTGTAACAAAAGTGACGCGTTAATTTTAATTTTATCTCTAATTAGTGTATCTCTAAGTAATTTATTGTTTTCGTGGATTTTATCAATGTTCTTCAACCAAAGAAAAAACAAACAATAATATTTAATGTAAAAAAATAAGTAAAAATGCAATATACTCCTTTAAATAAAACACTTTTAACGGTTAAAAACGCGATATTAGTAAACTTATTAAGAATTTATTTTAAGTTCGACATTTTAAATGCTTTGCAGCAGTTGTAGTTACGGGACGACTAACTGATATATGTCGTGTTTTAAACCGTTTAAAGTGTTTTATATTTATGAACGAATTAAGGTTTAATGCAGTTATTCGTTAGAATTGTATCAACACATAAATAAATATCTTGCAAAGAACGAAACAACGTTTTGAGATCGGTTAGTTACTAATAAGCTTTTCATTGTCTATAAAATGTCAACATAACTGCTGTGTACTCTTATATTAATATGACGATAAGTAGTTAAATACCAAGTTATTTTTAACCCACTTGCGATGCACGTGCTTGGGGTAGCTTTTTATAGCATCACCTAACAAGCCATGCGTTCGGAACTCGTATGGTTCCCTGCCCAGGAAATCCTGTTTGAAAATAAAAGCGCCCCACACCTTGGGCTTTGAAACGGACAGAGTGATTACATAGTCAAATGAGAATATTTGTACAGTAATATGTGTAGTTTACGCGAGTAGTACGCATTTAAATTAAACGCTATTAACGGTTTTGAACGCGAAATATATTCGTGTCCGCCCGTAATATATATCGCGTTTTAAATCTTTAAAAGAAATTTAATTTTAAAATGATGTTTGTGGATAGTGAAAAATATATTAAGTAAAGTTTATTTACAGATATAAAGGAGAAATTAACATACAATATTACTTCAATTGGTGATTTGTTCCTGCTTTTATACTGGGCAAGAATATTAGTACAGTCTTAATGGACGACAATTTAGGATAAGTCTACTTATTGGCTACTTTAAGCTAATACACGTATAGGTATTTATTTTTAATGGTCAGATATGGTTTTAATGGATAGATGCCTCACACAACAACATAATATGTTATCGCTTAATTTTTATGTACTTTGAAATTGAGCACGTAACTTTGTTCCAATTTTTGATATCTTTTACAATTACATTTTATAACAAATGCTCATAACTTACATTTTTATAGCTGGCAACATTGTACTGGACCGGCATGTGCCAGACGGGAGAACCAATTCTGTTAACTGTCGCTCCCAACTAGAAAGAAGTCACGAACAGTGAGTTAGTTTAAAGCTCGTTTTAATACAGGTGCTCAGTAGGATAATAAGCATTAATTATCTAAAAGCGAGTTTAATTATAGTAATTGGTTATTATGTTACAGGAAAAGCTAATCTGATTTGTGATTAAGTACAAATAAGATTACGTTCGAGAGGCCAGTGTAAATCGCAGAATCAGACTGCCCAGCCAGGCGGCGTTTCCGAGTCCCGGCATGTTAGACGCCAGTCGAGCGCCGGCCGTCGATTCGATAGTACTGCGCATGCGCCGTGCGAAGATATAACGAACTGTCAAATCGAAGAAACGTAAATAAACAAGTGAAAAGTTTGTGCTGGATTTAATTCGTGTGTGTAACTGTATGTATTAGTTCATTGCGAGGAACTGAAAAGTGCAACGAATTTACGAGTGAGTACATAATATTAATTCTGTTGTTGTTTTTTTCGCACGATGCGCCAGCCGGCTTCCGCAGTGATTTGTTTCATCTTTAGGTTTTGTTTTTTTCGTTGCAATTTTGAAGGAGCGAAGGTTGTGTTGAAATTAAGCGGTTAAACATATACATAAGCATTGGCAAATATGCAATATTTTTAACGGTCACTTGAAAATTGGTCATTCTATATTACCGAAATAATATAACCTATAAATACCTATAAGTTTCACCCTTTCTTCCTCCTTTATCGTCTAGTTGTCTTTTGAAAGTGTTCTTAATAAGAGCTTTGCATTTTAAATAACTACAACTGCCATTTCGTAATACTGGCAGTTATTAAACGTGCGTCTTAACTTATTGGTTCCCAAGTTAAACTTAGTTAGCTTCAGCTGTTTTTAACGTATTTATCTGGCGTCTAAAAATCGCTTATAGAGAAGAGATGCCAAGGTCAAAAGGGTCGGCAATTGAAAAACGGTCTCTTTAGCCTATGACTTATTTTATTATAAACGTTATCTTTTGTGTATTGTAGTGTAAAAGGTTTGACTAGACCATTCTAGTGTTCCTACTGCCGTAGGGTCCCGACAGTGGGAATTTCTTAAGACATAAATTAATGTGACTTGAAACATATTTAATGTCACGCACCTGCAAACAGCAGGTGTAAATGGTACTACGGAAGTCAAATTAAATTTTATTTTAAAATCTTACAACCTTAGCCAAATTAAGATCGATAATATTAACAAAGAATAAGTAAATAGTTCAGTAACTGATTCGGCAAGCGATGTATTTGTGTTTGCTAGATTATTATTATTATGTCGATACAAATCTAACATATTCTCGTAATTGGTAATAAAGCATTTAAATTTAAAAATTTAAGCCTTCCTCGATATAAAAGTAATTCCTGGGATTAACGCGTTGAAACAAACTCTTCAGTTTTACAATATTTGTATAGATTCTACAATTGCTCTATATTTTACAATAATCAAGAAAGACGCAAATGATAACCTCTGTTATAAAGCCTATATTATTACCATCAAAGCCTTCTAACAATAGTAGGCAATACAATTACTGTGCTGTCTATTCATATACGTCAGTAGACATAAAGCGGATAAAAGAACTTTGTCTCAACAAGATAGTTTATCACACAACAATTATCATCTTTTATTATCGACTCATTACATCGATATTAATAGGTCTTATAAATGTGAAAGTGTGTGTGTCAGTCTGTTTGTTTGTCCGTCTTTCTCGGCAACAGCGATTTATTAACATAATTTCTCTTCTTTTGGTTCATCATATTCTAGAGTCTGTAGCGTTGATTTTCAGCCACTAATAATACAAAATAATATTTACAGAAAAGCAGGGGGAAGGTATGGAAGGAACATAATCAACACCTACTTAAAAACTAACAATGTCGCAGACTTCAATCTTCTCAGTCTAACGGCTAGTCCTAAGTGAGACTACAAAGAACGAAATATTTAACTTCAAAGTAGAATGTAATTAACCGGTTCTTGAACTTTAGACTAATGCCAAAGGAAGTCTAGACTCTTCTACAATGTCTAGGCCCGCATCGTGTATTTTTGGGACTAGATAAGAACGATACGATAATTAACAAAGGCTGATTTTTAGG